TTGATTTCCAGAGAATATGTCGGGTAGCTCTCAACCACCTGCAACTCTAGTTCCAGGGGAATCTGATAGCCTCTGCTGGTCTCTATGGGCACTGTTTTCATTGCAGAACCATACACATATAAACACAACTAAAAATAAAATCTTGAACATTAATTTCAAAGAACGCTTAGATTGGGGCAAATTCTTCAAGACAACTAAAGCATAAAAAGGCAAAGCATTCTTCAGAGATGCACAATTGACTCAAAGTCTCTGATTTCTTCATCTATTTTCCTAATACTGCATTGACAGGGACTGGCTGCTTTATAAAGAAAGCAAAAAGAAACTTGAATGCACCACTAGGTTGTGGTAGGAGTAAAAATTGATGAAAACTTTCTGCTAATAATTGGCATAAGCATAAAGACCCTTAGAACTAAACACTGTTATTGACATAGCAATTCAGCTTCTAGCAATCTACACTAAGAAAATGTTCAGAAAATTGTGCGAGACTGATATAAAATTAATACTAACACAATCATTCAAAAAGTGTGCTTTCAAAGAATAGGGTATGGTAAAATATAGTATTCCATATAGTGAAAAAAATGAAGATCTATGACTCGATATACTGAGTGCTCTTATTGTTTTCTCAGAAAGATCCATATAAAGAAAAAAACAGAGCTGGTGCTTGGGCTGCATGAAACCCTTATTCTATTTTACATAATTGTATTTTCCACAATGGACATGTGCTACTTTCATAATCAGAGGGGGCAAAAACAGCCTAAGCCCTAACCTCAATGTATACCTCTAAACATTGTGATTAGTGCTGGAGAAGTGTTCAGTAGGCGTGTGTGTGTGTGTGTGTGTGTGTGTGTGTGTGTATGTGTGTGTTAGTTGTAGAAAAAATTATACTGTTCAAAATAGGGTTCATGATGAACATAAATCTCCCAGTATGAGTAGCTTTGGAGAGTGAATATTTGACAATGCCTTCCCTCAGGGCTTTGTCTCCCCTTCCTAGAGTTTCAGCTCACTTCTGCCCATGCGCATGGGAGGAGGAGTTGGGGCCCCTCATCCGTATCCTGCTCATATACCCATGCTCCGTGCTTTCTATGTCTTTGTTTCTTCCCTCCCCATCAGCTTCGCCCTCCACCATGTTCCTTTTGATTCTTCTTATTGAAGCCGAATTCCATGCTGCTGGCTTTCAGCCTTCCTCCTCACTCAGTTCCAGCAGCATTATCACATCTCCTCTTACCTCCTGTGTTTGTTCATAAGAATTGCCTGTGGGATTAGAAACTTACCATAAAGATGAAAGAAAATGAGCCGTCCATTAAATATATCACCTTTGGACTTTTTAGAGATGTCAGCTTTGCCAAACACCACAGGAGCTCCTGCCACTCTATGGTAACACTTCCCCAAAAGCATGCTGTCTTTCACAAGAAACTAAAGAACACAGACCCTCTTCTTCCCGTCCCCCCCCCCCCCCGAGACAAGGCTGTTGTTTTTGTGCCCCAGGTTGCTAGCATGTGGGAATGTTGTGGTGTGAGAAAATATCAACACCCTAAATGTCGAGTGCCCTTGTTTTCCACCAGTTCTGAAGGGGCCATTAATCATTCTCCATCCTTGCATCCTTCCGCTGTCTTTATTAGAGAAGCTGTTCTTATAATTTCTGTGGAGTATCTGTGGGTGGTGCTTAACCTTTGACATTGCCCATGTAGCCTGACTGATGGAGGAATAGTCGGGAGAGTCTCCTAGCATCAGCCTGGATAGAGAGTTCAGGGGCATCAGAGTTCTGTGGTCAAGTGCAATCAAGCAGAAGGTAATAGAGATGTGGGGGGGGGCAGCCTAAGGCTAATTTTTTCAACCTTGGTAGTGGGGTATTTTTAATTCTTTCCTTAAGGAAACTCTGAAAGCATCTTCTTTCATTTTCCTCTGGGCCAGGTTATAAAAGGTTCACTCTGCACACCTCTCACTAGAAAACCGCTGATAGCAGAAGCATGACACGTCATTCCTGTTGGAACCTTGCAGTATCTTTCACCCACAAACACCTTGCTCTACTCAATGGAGTTCAGTGATGGAAACCAAGACCTTGTGAGTCATTTAAACAGAAGGGGTCTGAATTTAGAGAATCACATGTTCTTACACTGTAGGGAGTAGTGCCTAAGCAGGAATGTGTGTCAGAAGATCATAGGCATGACTGGCCCAACACACTCCCACTTCTTTTTTTCTTCTTTAGTTTTTCGAGACAGGGTTTCTCTGTAGCTTTGGAGCCTGTCCTGGAACTAGCTCTTGTAGACCAGGCTGGTCTCGAACTCACAGAGATCTGCCTGCTTCTGCCTCCGGAGTGCTGGGATTAAAGACGTGCGCCACCACCGCCTGGCTACAATCCCACCACTTAACAGCAATCAGCAAGGTGATCACCTAGACTCCACTGAAACAGGCTATCTAGGGAGCAAAAGATGCTCCTGCTGCCTCTGCATAACCTGGAGAAACAAGGAAAACAGTGAGAATATGCTACAGGGACACTCCAAACTGCCGAAGGGTACAGACACAGCAGAGGCATGTTCTCTGTCATCCATGTGACTTCTCACTGGTAAAACCTATACCCCATGTGTACAAATGAGTTGAAAAGGGGCTGAAAAGTATGGACTCAGCCCATGTATGGGTTCCACATCTCAAATTCAATCAACTGTGGATCAAAAACTTTGTTTAGAAAAAATGCATCTGTACTGAACATTCCTTAGACAGTATAGTATAACTACTTAAAAACTTTTGATTACATTTATTTTGTGTGTGCACACATTATATATGGACACACACACACACATATGGGGACATGAAAATGCCACATTGTACCCATAGAAGTCAGAAAAATATGTGAGAGTCAATTCTGTCAATTCTCTCTTTCCTCTATGTGGGCTCCAGGATTAAAACTCAGGTTATCAGGCTTCAGCACAAGCACCGTTAGCTGCTGGGCTATCTCGTTGCTTCCCTTTGCCATTTTAAAAAATTACATTTATCTATGTATGGATTTATTTAGCTGTGTGTGTGCACACACGCATGTCATAATACATGTGTGGAAGTCAGAGAGGACAATTTGCCAAAGTCATTTCTCTGTTTCAAAGATGTGGATCACAGGAATTGGGCTTAGGTCGTCAGGGTTGGCAGCAAAGCACCTTTACCTGCTATGCCATCTTGCTAGCCAAAATGTAACTATTTATATAGCATTGGTATTGTGTATTTAAAACTATCTGGAGATGATTTAAAGTATATGGGAGGATGTGCACAGTTTATATGTAAGTACTATTGTATTTTTAATATTGTATTTTCAGTAAAGAGTTTGATTATCTTAAGATTTTGGCATCTAGAAGGCTGTCGTGTATCTTAAGATTTTGGCTTCTAGAGGATTATCCTGGACAACTCCTCTGTAGCTACTGAGACACAAATATATTTAACTTTCTAGAGTTTTTAGTGCAGTAAGACATGAAGGAGATGGGAAAGGATGTCATATACCAACAAATCACAAGCATGTATGTTGTTTAATGGGCAGCTACTGCTTATTAACTCAGTCCCAAGCGGCCCTCTAGGAATGCTTTGTCACCCCTCTGATGACGATATGAGGAGTTGTTTTGCCAATTTCCCATGTATCAGAGGCTTTGAAGTCCTTGGCACAGTCACACCCATGTCAACAATACACACTCACTCAGGACTTCACTCGCTCCATACAGAACTAGTTCGTAGTGGTCACTAAATAAATGGATCCCTATGACTATGCTAACACTTGCCAAGTGTATATCATGAAGGATTCAGTGAGCATTTTGTTGACTAACCACATGTTGTGATTTTTCAAATGTCTTGATGGTTACTTCTGGACTATCTTTATGACATTTGTTTATTTCTGGAAATAGTAGACATTTAAGTTTAGAGGTGAAGGATTGCAGGCAGGTGGGAGCTGTGTCCCACAAAGGACAGTGGACTACTGAGGTTACTCTTGTAAGAAGCCGAGGAAGGGAGGTTGGAGACAGCAGTGGTGTAGCAGTTAAAGAAGGGGTACTGAGAAGAAAGCAAACTGAGTATAGCGTCAGAGACCAGGAAAGATCATTGGTAGAGGATGGGAGGTCATGGGGAGAGGTGTAAGGTGAAGGTTGGGGAGTCTCAAAACGGGACAGTACAAAGAGTGAATGGCGGAGATGGAGAGAGAGACAAATGTCAGCTCGGCAAAGACTTGGCCGTGCACTGAACTACAGGACACTCTGCTCAACACTAGTAACTTTCAAAGTCTCCTTTGTTTTAAATATCCTAAAAGAATTTTAAAATCCTAAATTTAATATTGAAATTGATGTTGGAGACAAGGAGATTGACATGAGATTGAGGCTAGCCTGGTCTATATAGTGATTTCCAGGATAACATGGGCTATAGAACCAGATCTTGTCTCAAAACCAAAATAAAAACTACGATCTACTAAAATTCAATATGTAAAACATACATTTATACATAAAAATTTTGAGATAGGAACTTTTTACTGTTTATCTGGCCTTGACCTTGACCTTGTGATCCTCTTCCCTCAGCCTCCTCCTAAGTACTGGTATAGCTTATCATTCCTATATTCATGAGGACCTGCAATGTTTTATGTATGCATGGTATTGTTCAATCAAATGCTCATCACTTCTCCCTGGTAAAATTTGGAGACACTTTTCTACATTTCAAAGTCTATATTATTGTTATGTGTAGTTACCATGCTAAGCAAGGAGCTATTCTTTCTTATTCAGCTGTGAGTTGGTGGCCATCATTCCATCAGTTTACCTTTCTAAGATCTACAACAGGACAGCTAATAGATATTAAGTCACAGTTAAACAGGAGCAAGTAGTAGCTCACTTCCCCCGCTTTTACTCCACTAGTACTACAAGCCCTAGCCTGGACAATTGGGAAAAATAAGGGATATCCAAATTGAAGAAATAAAAGAAGCCATATTGTCCCTGTGCATAATGTGAACCTAGGAGACTAAAATCTCCACCAAACAATTGATTAGAGTGCTCGCTTCGGCAGCACATATACTAAAATAGGAAGGATGCAGAGAAGCTTAGCATGGCTCCTGCTCAAGGATGACACGCAAGTTCGTGAAGCCTCCCATGTTTCTCCTCAATAAAAGAATAGATAAGGAAAATGTGGTACATTTACACAATGGAGTACTACACAGCAGACAAAAATAATAACATCTTGAAATTTGCAGCCAAATGGATGGAGCTAGAAAACATCATATTGAGTCAGGGAACCCGGACCCAGAAAGACAAATATCACATGTGAGTTAAAAACCACTTATGAATGGTTTTTAAACATAAAGCAAAAAAAAGCCTACAAATAACAATCCCAGAGAATGTAGACAACAATGAGGACCCTAAGATAGACACACATGGATCTAATCCACATAGGAAGTAGAAAAAGACAAGATCTCCTGAGTAAATTGGGAGCATGGGGACCATGGGAGAGGGTAGAAGGGGAAAGGGAGGAAGGGAGGGGAGGGTAGAAAAATGTAGAGCTCAATAAAATCAATAAAACAAATCAAATGATTAGAACCAGACAAATTCAGCAAAGTTGCAAGGTACAAAATCAGCACAGAAAAATCAGTAGCCGTGCTGTATGGCAATAGCAATTCATCTGAAGCAGGAATTGAGACCAGTGCTGCCTGGGAGGCTTTAGCTGAGAATCTGCAGCCCAGGCAAGCTGCGGCACATTTCTGTCTTGTTCCCTCCCTCTTGCAGTCTCCTCTGTCTTTGGAAACCCGATTATTAGTGTCTTAGTGTTGATGTGGTTGGGGGACGTCTGACTGCTGACCTTCTTGTACCTGGACATTTACATCCATTTCTAAGGTTGGGAAGTTTTCTGTTATCTCCTTGAATAAGCTTTATAATCCTTTGGCCTTTTCTGAGATAAGATCTCACATGGTCAAGGCTGGCCTCTCTATATCACCTGAGAGAAAAACCTCAGACGATGAATTCTCTCCATCACACTGCCCTGTGGGCATGTCTGGGGGGATTGTCTTTATTCTTAGTTGATGTAGGATGGCCTGCCTCATTGAAGGAGACACTAATTCCCTGGATGAATGGCCCTGACTTGGATAAGAAAGCTAGTGACCCGTGACCCTGTTTGCAGAAGTCAGCTAACAGGGGATGTCATCCACGGTCTCTGCTCTGCTTCTTTGGCTGTGAAAGTTTTTCCATAGGAGGTAAGGCTGTGTGGAATAGCATAGCATAGCAGCTATGCCCTGACTTCCTGAATGAGGGACTGTGATCTGGAAGTGTAAGCCAAATAAACCCTTTCTTCTTTGTTGCTTTTGGCCAGAACAGTTTATCATAGCAATAGCGTGAGACTAGAACATTGTGTCTTCTCCCCTACTGATTGTTGTCTGGTCAGTTTCTGGCACCTTCTTTTGACTATTCGGTGAAGTTGGTGTCTTGAAATCCCTGGACTTGTTCCCATGGTTGCAGAAATACCAAATGAGCTGTTTCTTGACTCTGAGTTTATGGTTCATTCCATGATCTCAGCACTGGATGACTCCCAGGTCCACACTTGCCAAGAGTCTCTTGTTAGTGTGTTATCACCTTTTAGGCACTAGAGGCAAATCCAAGATCAAGCTTGTTCCAAAACTCCCAGTTTGTGTGGTTCAGAATGAACCTGGGGATACCTCCAAAGAAGTGCATCCCCATAGACCTCTTCCAGAGCCCAGATATACACTCACTACTGGCCGATGGTCAGGCACTGTAGGATTTTTTTGTCTTAGCTCTTAGCCAAATCACAATGAGCGGAGCAACTCTAGACTCCTATTGTAATACTGATAGGTGGTAGTATTTCCCAATTGTCCTAAAACTGTGAGCCCACTGCTTGCTAAAGCTAACATGGCACTGTCACAGGGCTAAGGCCCACACTGCTAGGGATTAATTAGTGCTGAGGAAGAGTCACACATGGCCCATGATCACTTCAACCACCCAAGGAGAAGTTAATAGGAATAGAAGTCTGATAGACTGGAGTCATGTTTCTGTCAACCTAGTCCGAGGTTTGTTGCAGAGAGCCCATGTGCAGGCAGCCCTGGACATAAGGGCCATATCTGCACAGTGTTACGTTTCACTAGCCTGGCACTAAATTCTGAAATCCTATGCTTACCAACATATCTTATTCTCATTCGGTGGGGACATATGCCATGCTCTATTACCTGCGGGTGGGGATATGACAGTGTTGGTAAAGACAGACCCTTGGCCACCTAGGCTGATGTGGTGTCTGAATCACATGACCTTCACAGCTTCAGGGGACATGCAGGCCCGTGGCACCGTTGTCAGTGAAGCAGCTGAAATACAGTGCAGGGAGTACCTGGCATAGGCGCCAGTCCAGAGCTGGATACAGCTCTGCTGTGCTAGGTTGGTGTACACATGGCAGAGACAGCACCTGAATCACTTAAGCTGGCACTTAGTCACTTAATCACTAGAGCTGACACTCAACTGGGTTGCAAGGGCCTGCCCGCTATCTCAGGAGAAGCAGGAGTTCTCCAGGCTCACTCCAAGGATGGTTATGATGAAGAGTGACACTTGAGTGCACTCTACACTACATAGGTGTAACGTTCAGATGGTCTAAAGCTCTTGGTGCCCTGGCCTGCACCCAAGAATTTTCATTTATACTGGGTGATTGTCCACGGCGCAGTGGGCCTAGCTTGGGTTGCAAGACAGAGCACTCTGCTTGCCAAGGTTGGAGTATGGTTTGGAGGCAGTTGTCTGCTATTCCTAAAGTAGTCCCAGAAGTATAGTCTCTGCAAATATAGAACCCCACCCTCAGAGTTCTAGGACCCTTGTCTCGTGTTGAGTTTCACTGTGGCTGGTCTGGCAATGAGTCTCAAGTCTGATGCCTTGAGGTCATTTCCTCTCCCTTTTCTAAGCAGAAGGCCTCTCTTTGCCCTGGCCTGCTTGCGGGAAGAGCTTACTGGTTTTTTCCTGTCTTTAGTTTGTCCTTTGGCTTTGTTAGATTAAAAACGGGCACCATAGCAGAACCCTTCGTCATCATCTGGTTTCCTTATTTTGCGTCAAGGTAGTTATTCTGTGAGCAGCTTTTCAGTGTGGTGTGGCTACAGGAGGACGGCATCAAGATGATCTTATTCAGCTCCCGTCTTGCTTTACTGCGTCTGTCAGCTTTTCAACCCTGAAAGAATTTTGCAGAACTCCATCCACTCTCGTTCCCATTTACACAGCTGGTAGCTGCACTTCTTCATACATCTAAAGACTCTAGTTCCAAAGGATGTGATAGTCAGGATAGCATAAATATTGACACTCCAAAAGAAAATGCTTATATTGTACTTCCTGGAATCGAACTATCATTATGACAGTCAGAGTCATCCATTTTTAAAGTATGTGACAAGCTCTTTGACAGTCAGAAATTTTACATCATTCTTTTTGCTCCTTGAAATTATATTTGCCGTTCATTTCTCCCACGGGGTGCTATCCTGATGCTTGAAAGCCTTTTTCTACCCTGTTTCTCAGCAACAAAAATACATGCACAGATGTGTTAAGAGTTGGTTTCCTGCAACCACAAATGATTAGTGATTAGTACATATCTGAAGAAAAAACTGAGCGTTTTAGTGTATGCCTGCAATTCTAGTATTCAGGAGAATCACAAGTTCAAGACCAGCCTGTAACCTCAACAAGCACCTCTTTGAAAACAATGAAAAAAAAAAAACTAAGGAAAGGAAGAAACTATAAATGTAAAATGTTTTGGGGAAAACCGTTTTTTTTTTTCTGAGTAATTGTTACAGTTTATTGCTGAGTATTAGTATTTTAAATTTTAATTCTCAATTTTATAACTAATCATTGAATTTACATTGTATCTTACACGGAATTTAGCGCAAGCAAATATCAGTTACACAATTGACACCTTGAACATATGGGCTCAACTCCAAGTGCTTGAAAAACATTTCTTCATATGGTACACAAGGTAGGCAAGGATGATTACAATCCCTGTATTAAGGAGCTTGACCAACACTACTCTCTCTCTCTCTCTTTCTTCCTCTCTTTCTCTTTCTCTGACCCAATGGGAGCTCACTGACTCCAGCCGGACAGCGGGGAACCAGCATAAGACCAAACTAGGCCTTCTGAATATGGGTGACAGTTGTATGACTGGGGAAGTTTATGGGGCCACTGGCAGTGAGACCAGGATTTATCCCTACTGCTTGTACTTGCTTTTTGGAACCCATGCTCTTTGGAGGGATACCTTGCTCAGCCTAGATACAGTGGGGCAGGCCTTGGTCCTACCTCAAGTGATGTACCAGACTTTGTTGATTCCCCATGGGAAGCCTTACCCTCTCTGAGGAGTGGAAGGGGGGTGGGATGGAGGAATGGAAGTGGAGGGGGTGGGAGAAGGGGAGGGAGTGGGAACTGAGATTGAAATGTAAAATGAGAAAAGAATTTTTTTTAAAAAAATACATTAATAGATGTGCAGGCTACAACTGCACAGAGCAGACCAAGAGGGGAATGATCAATCAGTCAGCTGGGTACTTGACTCTCTAGGCCCTTAGACTGGGGCAAAACCCCAGGCACCTCCCCCACATGCCTCAGCATCACTAACCAGCCAGCAGGCATGCCTCCTGCAGGTAGATTGCTCCAACAACCTCCCCCCATCGACAGGACCCTTTAAGCTACAAGGCCCTCTCCACCCCCAAACTAACCCATCCCCTTGTTATGCCCAGATCCACCAAGTCCCTTAAAACCAACAAGGAGACTGAGTCCTGTATGTAAAAGAAAAGAGCCTTTGTTTTATACAAGTTTGCAAACTCAGTGTGTACAACGTATTGGAATAATCGGAGAGCCCTGAGCTTAGTTAGACTTGGGTTTTTAATAATACTAAAGGTGGGAGTGAGGGATTTCTAAGGTTTAGGAACCCTGATTGGATGACATTTGTCTAGGGGTGTCCTGGTGAGTGTGTGCTGGCAGGTGATCCTATCTACAATGGTTGGAACATTAGGCATTTCCTTTGTATGGTCTGTTCTTGGGTGTTGCCTGGGTAATATCAGTTTGTAGTCCTTCCTGCAGTCAGGTATTGCCTCAGGGTAAACTACTGAGACACAGGCCTCCATTAAGGTTATCATGGCTGAGTCCTACACTG